GAGGAATGACATACTTGCCATCAAAAAGAGAATTTCAAGATTTATATACAGTGCTGTCTGTGATAGGATGATATCCATAAGCTTACAAGGAAGACCAGTTAAAACCAATGTTATTCAAATGTATACACCAACAATTAAACTGAAGAATTATATCAAGTTCTTCATTCTGAAATTGATCAAACATGTAATCAAGATGCATTGATAATTACTGGTGATTGGAATGCAAAGGTTGGAAACAAAGAGGAAGGATCACTAGTTGGAAAATATAATCCTGATGATAGAAATGATGCTAAAGATCACTTGATAAACGTTTTGCAAGACCAAGGACTTATCGATTGCAAATACCATTTTCAAAAACCTAAAAGGAAACTAAACATGTATGTGGATATTATAGGAATACACAGAAATCAAACTGACTACATTTGTGGGAAGAGAAGATTATTTTTGTTGGTAAGTTCTTTTGAGTTGGTTCCGACTCATAGTGACCCTGTACAGGGTTTCTGATGAGCAGTTGATGGGATTGAAGAGACAATGGAGAAACTCAATATAATCAGGCAAGAAAAAGCCAGGGATATGCATGTCAAAGTTGGACAATGAATAAGGAAGACTGTAGAAGAATTGAAGAATTTGAATTATGGTGTTGGCAAAGAATATTGAAAGAACCATGGACTGCCAGGAAAAACAAAACAAAAACTTTTTCCAACAAATCTGTCTTTGAAAAAGTATGGCCAGTTATGAGGAGAAAGACATCATACTTGGTAAAGTGTTATTGTTGTTGTTATGTGCCTTGGAGTCAGTTCTGACTCACAGCGACCCTGTGCAGGGTTTCTGAGGCTGTAAATCTTTATGGGAGCAGAAAGCCTCATCTTTCTCCTATGGTAGTTTTGAACCGCTGACCCTGAGGTTAGCAGCCCGATTCGTAACCACTACGCTAGGATCAGTGAAATGAGGAAGACTGCCGATGAGATGAACTCACACTGTGGTAGCAACAGTGGGCTCAAACATAACAATGAGGCTGCCACAGGACCAGAAAGTGTTGTGTTCTGTTGTGCTTAAGGTCACTATGAGTTGTAACCGACTTACTGACACTTAACAACAACAACAAACAGATAGATGAGTTAATCAAGTTATGTTTTTGTTATTAAAATGACCTGCAATTTTAAACTGAACATTTTTCACTATTTGTGGTATAAACATTTTCGTGTGTTCTAGAAACAAAGTTTGCGTAACTTAAATGATTACAATGCTCTAAAAATACTGTAGCAGATCATTACTAGCCTTCCAAAACTAGGAAATTTACAAATACCATTTTTTTAAAAATCTGAATTGAAGTTACCTATTTCGTCACTTTCCTTTTAAAATCCCCTAGGATTCAAATACTAACTAATAAAATATGAAGAAAAATAGACATTCGATTATAAAAAAAAATTCCCATTTCAGAAATGAAGAAAGATATGACTATAGAAATCTGTGTCCATTTAAGTTTAAAGATTAAGTGGTACAAATGACCCTTGAACAACACGGGACACTGACTCCACGCAGTTGAAAATCCACTGATAACTTAAATAACCAAAAATGTAACTTCTTGGTAGCCTCCTGCTGATGTAAGCCTTTCTGATAACAGACAATTAATACAATTGCTATATAATATATGTATAATGTCCTGCACTCACATAAAAATGGTACTTTTTATATTAGATAAAGTATTTGGTAATAAGGTGCTAAATTTTGGTGTCTACTAGTTTAGCTGCAGATATGGCTTCATGAATATCCTTTTCTTTGTTTGCAATGGTCCTTATGCTGGATTCATTTACTGTAAAATGGTGGGCAACCACAGCTACAGAACTCTGTCTTTGTTTATATCGAATAATTCAATATTTTCTTTAATGTCCTGACTTTTCTTTGTTTCTTGGAAGTACTTCCAGCATCACTAGTAGCACTTTGTATGGGTTGCATGGTGTTATTCAAAGTTCATGGTATTGTTTTACAATGAAAAACATATTGAAAAATACAAGAGATCACTTTCTAATGTGATACACAATTTACTGGAGAGACAAACTTCTCACTTGGAGATGATTAATGTCACCTGGTGTTTTTGTTTAAAAAAATCTGTGTATAACTGGACCTGTGCTCTTATTATCCAAGGGTCAACAGTATTCTGAAATTCAACTCTGCTTAATCTTAGCAAAATATATGTACAATCTCATAAATTTCATTTCTTATAAGTATATACAACATTTCTTATTTTTAGCTTACTCTTAATATATATATAGCCCTAGGTCGGAACCGACTCAACAGCACTTAACAACAACAACAACAAAGGCTCCTACTAGAAACTATAGTAGCAACAATGTTATAGAGTGAATTGTGTCTTCTAAAACATGTGTCAACTTCACTAGGCATGATTCTCAATATTATGTAAATATTATCCTTTCTGTGATCTGATGTAATTATTCTATGTGTTGCAAATCCACACCTTTATAATTTTAATGAGTAGAATTAGATGCAGTTATGTTAAGCAGTTAGAAGGTAATCTACAGGATTATGGTACCTTTTGAATCAATTTCTTTTGAAATATAAAAGAGATTAAACAAGCAAGCAAAGAAGGACCTCAGTACAAACAAGAAAGATGAACCAGGAACACAGTGCATCCTTTGGACTCAGGGTCCCTGTGCTGAAAGACTACTAGACCCAGGAGATGACTGATGACTAGACACATGGAGATCTCCAAGGGATGCTTGGACCACATACATTGAAAGTAGGCAAGGGCCTTCCTCCAGAAATGACAGAGGGAAACCCTTTCCCTTGAGCTCATATCCTGAATTTGAAAGTTGTTGTTGTTGTTGTTAAGTGCTGTGAAGTCAGTTCCGACTCATAGCGACCCTGTACAAGGTTTCCGAGGCTGTAAATCTTTACAGGAGCAGAAAGCCTCATCTTTCTCCCAAGGAACAGCTGGTAGTTTCGAACTGCTGACCTTGCAGTTCACAGACCGTTACCACTACGCTACCAGAGTTCCTAATGTATAGCCTCCTAACTGTGAGAGATTAAAGTGTGTCTTAAAACCATCCATTTTTGTTACAGCAGCACTAGATCACTAACATCAACACCATTTTTTTTGGCTAAAAAATATTACAGGAAGGAATTTCTACTATATCTTTATACTTAGCTGTACTTTTCTTTATAGAAGAGGCAAATCACTGATTAAGGGTTCAAGTTTACTAACATGCATTTAGAGGAAATGTCTTCTATAGGCTTACTCTACAGGCTGAAGTTGATGGATGAAGAGTTAAAAAGAAGAAAATGGTAGCAGGCAAAGAAGGTGAATAAAACATTGAGAAGGCAGAGGAGTCAAGACAGAAAAAAGATTTCAGAGTATTTGTCCTTAATTATAGAAGACTTATTGCTGAAATGGTTAAAGCGCTCAGAGGCTAACCAAAAGGTCAGTGGTTTGAAGCCACCAGAAGCTATGCAGGAGAAATATGTGGCAGTCTGTTTTGATAAAGATTCCTGATCTTGGAAACCCTATGGGGTAATTCTACCCTATCTTATAAGGTTGCTATGAATCAGGCAACTCAATGGCAGCAGGTTGTTGTCCTACATGATGTTTGGCCCAGGAAAAGATTATAATGTGTCCAAAGAGCCTAGTAACATAAATTTTACTCCCTAAATTTAATCCCACTTAACCAGTTTAAAACCCTATTATATTTATGTAAGATTTTCTGATATTCCATGTATGAAAGCACAATACTATGCAAAGCAACATAACATTCAAAATAACATAGCAACCTTATGTACAACAAAATGAAATACCACATGGTCCTGCGTCATGCTCACAATTGCTGCTATGCTTGAGTGCATTGCTGCTGCCACTTTGCCAAACCATCAAATTGGGGTCTCCCTCTTTTTTAGGGACCCTCCATTTTATCAATTATGATGTCCTTCTTCAGGGACTGGAGAAATAATCATAATACCAAAATGTCTTTGGTGATTTTCAAAATACTTCTCTAGCTGGCTCAAATAAAACACTGCATGTGTGATGTACTTTTACCACTAGTGGATTATTTATCTTGTGAAAATAAAGCTGTTTTCTCTTTTAGATAAATCAACAACCATTTAATAATAATGTGGGATTTGTAACACAGATGACCAGTTCATTTTGATAAGCAAAGATAACTGAATGAAATGAAGCTGTTTCAATTACAACTTCCTTGTGGAAAATATTTCTGTTTTATTAGCTCCATCTGATGGCTGATCTGGATTTTACACACTACCTGGCTATAAAATCTCAACAGTCATAATGCTGTTTTTATTTCCTCTTCTTTGTCAGAAAGCTGTGCCATATTGAGAAGAGGCTGCTAAGCTGATTGTTGTTGTTGTTACGTGCTGTTGAGTTGGTTCCGACTCATAGCTATCCTATATAGGGTTCCCAAGGAACAGTTGGTCAGTTTGAACCACCGACCTTGTGGTTCAAACTGATCTTACGGTTCAGTGCTTTATCCTACAACACCACCTCAGGAATCCACTAAGCTGATTATGTGCCTAATTATTGTAATATAATTTACTAATGTAAAGATATTTCATGCCAATCCTATTCAGTTTTTCCAGCTTTTCAGTTTTATGCTGGGGAGTTTAAACATCAGAGATAGCAACAGTATAAAATGTATTATTTGAAAGTATGAAAATATTGTCAGTATTTTCCTATATGTATATCCTTATACATACCTCTCAGACAAGCTTAGCTTGCCTCTTGTCTAATTTATGTTGCCAAAGGTACGTTGTGATAACAAATTTTAAGCATATAAAAATTATTTTATTTTCCTGATTCATGTATGTAATATGAACCAGTTTAGGGAAAAATATCATATGCCATTTTAATATTTCCCAATATGTGACTATTTGAAATTACAGTTCTACCAATGCATTAAAAATTCAGTTTAAATGTATTTTAAATATATAACTGAGCTTAAGCATTCAATAGTATGTAAAGAAAAATACTATACCTCAGCATCATATTCCCATAATTGATTTCCTCTCATATGGTGGCATTTTAACATTATTACAGGTCCATTGAGTCTAGAAACATCCAAGCATAAGTCATCGGTTCGGATTTCTTTGTCAGCAGTATAAGAAAATACCTGAAAATATAAAATTCAATGAATAAAAAGAGTATCTGCTTTAAAAAAAAAATCTCCATAGCATAGGAGATTGCTAAAGTTTTCAAATAAAATAAACAGGTTTTCATTTGATCCCTGCTATGTGATCTTGAGAAAATTAGGTTACCCTTCTCCATTTCTTTCCTCAACTGCAAAATAGAGGCAATGTTTTATAAGGTTTAATGAAGTCTCAATTTAACAAACATTTTAAATGTTTATTATTTGCTGACACTTTATTTTCTGTTCTTGTCTTTAAAAAGCTTACAAGTTAAATAAGACAAAGTTTGTAAACTGTACAGAAATCAATAAAGGGTAGTCATTATTCATCACCACCTTATGACCAATTTTCCAACTGTAGGTATAATGAATCCTCCTACAAGTGATGATGGATAGACTTCATCTTGTTTACTTTAGATACATCATCAGGAAAAAAAACAAACCAATTTCTATAGACGGACATCATGTTTGGTAACGGAGGAGCAGTGGAAACAAACCTTGGGTAAAGGGATTAACACAGTAGCCTCAACAATTGTTGTTGTTAAGTGGTATCAGTCAGTTTTGAATCATAGCAACCCTGTATTGGGTTTCTGAGGAGCAGCAAAGTTCAACTGCCAACTTTGCAGTTCACAGTCTGGTGCTGAACCTTTAGTGCCACATCAGGATCAAACGTTATGAGATGCACACAATTGGGCAAAATTTTTCTCTGTTTATGTGGGGTCATTATGACATGGAGCCAATTGGATGGCAACTGACAACAACAAAGATAATGTTGTTTTCAATAAAGAAGTTTGAATCACTTTTTATAATATAAGTGTTGTTGTTGTTAAGTGCCATCGAGTCAATTCTGATCCGTGGTGACCCTGTATAGGGTTTCTGAGGAGCGGCTGGTGAGCTTGAACTGCCAACCTTGCAGTTCAAACTGCTTTGCTGTCTAGCACATTAACCCATAGCGCCACACCAGAACTCCATAATGTAAATAAAAATTATCATGTTAATTTTACTTAATATCATCAGTTGATTAGCAAAAAAGTTTACCAAACAATCTTCTCTAGATATCTTTTTAAATCCAAACTCCAAATTTATGTTTCTAATATGGTTTTTTTTGTGTGTAGGGTCACTATGAGTCGGAACCGACTCCACGGCACACAACAACAACAACAAATATGGTTTTGCAAGGCTTGACCACATCAATTTTTCTCAAAATATCCAATAAATGTAGAAGTGAAATGTGGACTTATAGTTAGAGCATTCAAATTAATACTATAAGAATGTATTACTTTGTTCCTGGTGTGAATAATCTATTTATAACATTGATGATTAAAGTTTCATGATGACTATTTAGTACATAATTATAAAGTAATTTTCTTCTTTTTAGCTCTGATAAGCATGGTTTAGTAATCTGCTGGCTCTTCTTTTGATTTTGCAATGTCAAGCGGGAGTGTAATGAGGAAGGTCATCTCAGGGCCGTTTTGTTTTCAAGAGAGGAAGTCAGCACTGCAGAATACATATAATTCTGAAACCCTGGTATGTCAACTAGGTATTTCAAAAGTATTTCCTCTACAGCACTGCTGCTCAAGGCTTCTCTGAGATTCATAAAAAGTAGTAAAATGAAGTTACAAAATCAGTGATGGAACCTAAGTATCCTCTATAGCCAACATCTTAAGAAAATTCTCCACAAAGTTTTTACATTCTACTCAATAGTATATCAATTGGAAAAGTGTGTGAAGTTTATGTAATTGAATTATGAAACATACATTATAGACTTCATGTTTGGAATTCAGAAACAATTTCTTATCTTTATAATTTTAATATTTCTATTTTAAAGAAAAACACTGAGTAACCAAGTAAAGAATAAAAGAAATATCTATTAAAGGTAAGCTTTATAATCTTCATGTAATGGTTACTTTTATCTGTCAATTTGGCTTGGCTATGGTGTCCAGTTGTTTGGTCAAACACCAGTCTCATTGCTGTTATGATTAAATCATCTTATCTTAAGTAATGCAAATTACATTTCTTTCATAGCCATATTACTGGTTCTGTTTCTTTATAAGACCCTAATTTAAATAACCCTAACTTAAACAACACTATGTAAACACTCCACAAGTTGGGATTTTCTTAACACAATTATTAACTATGTAATTAAATGACTGAATCTGATAATAAACATTAATCTGAGAGAGGCAAATTTCCTTTACCAAGGTATAGAGTCATTTCCATAGGGAAAGCTAAGTTTATACATTGAAATTTCTTTTTTTTTTAATTGTACACAAATGTCACTGTAAAGGAAACACCAATGCATCCATATTCAGCATTGACTTTGTATTGCAATGTAATCTTGGCCTGAGCAATGATTCTCCTAGTATCTTTTAATATAGTTTGGAAACTACTTGCTGAAAGTTGCACAGAGTAATCTATCACATCCTTTGTTCCTAAATTTATAATTTTAATCAATTTCTGAGTCAATTGGTAGATATCCTAAGTAATTTATACTCAAGAAAGACACACTGCTAGATCATCTTTTGAGTCCATGTTGTTGTTGTTGTTAGGTGTCCTTGAGTTGGTTCCAACTCATAGTAACCCTGTGCACAACAGGACGAAACACTGTGCAGTCCTGTGCCATGCTCAGATTTGTTGTTATGTTTGAGCCCATTGTTGGGGTCACTATGGCAATCCATATAGTTGTGGTAGGGGGAGATCTTTCCTCTTTTTCACTGCCCCACCAATTTACTGGAGTCCTGGTGTGACACTGTGGGTTAATGCGCTCGGTTGCAAAGTCTCTTTGAATTACAAGGTTGGAAGTTCTAGCTCAATAGCTCTTCCATAGAAAGCCTATACAGGGTCACTATGAGTTGGTACTGACTCAACAGCACGTAGCAACAACCCATTTACTAAGCATGATACCCTTCTTCTTAGAACATATCCAAAGAACTAGTCATGAAGTCTTGCCATCCTTGCATTTAAGGAATACTCTATCTGTACTTCTTCCAAGACAGATTTATTTGTTCTTCTGGAAGTCCATGTGAATTTCAACATTCTTTGACATCATATTTCAAATGCATCAATTCTTCTACAGTCTTCTTTTTTCATTGTCCAACTTTTCCAGGCATCTGAGGTCATTGAAAAACTCCATGACTTGATTCAAGTGAAACTTAGTGTCAAAGTAACTTTGCTCATAAACACATTAAAGAGGTCTGTTACAGCAGATTTTCCTAGTGAAATACATTGTTTGATTTCTTGACTGCTGCTTCCATAAGTGTTAATTGTAGATCCAAGCAAAATGAAGTATTTGACAATTTCAATTTTTTCTACATTGTGAATATTTTTTTTTCTCTCTATATTCAAGTGCAAGCCATACAGAAGGCAAGCCATACAAAATTCTATTTTTGAACTTCATCAGTAAGTACTTCAAGTCCTCTTCACGTCTAGCAAGGAAGGTTTTGTTATCTGCATAACAAAGGTTGTTAATAAATCTTCCTCCAATCCTGATGTCACTTTCTTCTTCATATAATCCAGTTTCTCACATTAGTTGCTTAGCACACAGATTGAATAACTATAGTGAAGAAATACAACCCTGCACACATCTTTCCTGATTTTTAACTATTCAGTATCCCCTTGTTCTGTTTGAACAATTGCTTCTTGGTCTACATACACGAGCACAATGAATTGTTCTGTAATACCAATACTTCTCAATGTTATCTATAGTTTGTTAAGATCCACACAGTCAGACACCTTTGCATATTAAACAAAGCACTAGTAAACATATTTCTCATATTCTCTATTTTTAGCCAAGATACATCTGACATTAGCAATGATATCCTTAATTCCACATCTTCTTTTGAATCTGACAATTTTTGGCAACGCTGTTGATATACTGCTGCAAACAAGTTTGAAATATCTTCAGCAAAATTTTACTTGCTTACTTGCATATGATATCAATGATATTGTTCCAAGATTTCCACATTCTGTTGGGTCACCTCTCTTTAAAATGGACACAAATAAGGGTCTCTTTCAGTCAATTGGTCAGGTAGCTGTCGTCCAAATTTCATGGCATAGATATGTTAGCACTTCTAGTACTGCATCAGTTTGTTGAAGCATTTCAGGATTCAATCAATTCCTGGAGCCTTGTTTTTGCCAACACCTTCAATGCAGCTTGGACTTCTTCCGACAATACCACTGGTACTTGATCACATGATACCTCTTGAAATGATTGAAATGGTTGAAATGGTTGGTACAGTGACTCTGTATTCCTTGTATCATTTTTTATGTTTTCAGCACCATTCAATATTTTGCCCAATATTGGAGGTTGAGGCTTGAAGTTCTTCTTCAGTTCTTTCACCTTAAGAAATTCTGAGCTTGTTCTTTCCTTTGGGTTTTCCAATGCCAGGTCTTTGCACATTGCTTTGTAATACTTTTCTTTGTCTTTTCAAGTTGCCCTTTGAAATTTTCTTTTCAACTCATTTACTTATTTCATCTAGTTGCTTTAGCTTCTCTGCACTCAAGAGCAAGTTCCAAAGTCTCCTCTAACATCCATTTTGGTGTTTTCTTCCTTTCCTTTACATTTAATGACCTTCTGCTTTCTTCATATATGATGTTTTTGATGTCATTCCATAACTTTTCTGGTTTTTGATCATTAGTGTCTAATGCATCAAATCTGTTCTTGAGATGGTCTCTGAATTCAGGTGGGATATATTCAATGACCCTTGGTGTGACACTGTAGGATTGGCCCAGAACTTCAAACCACAAAGTTGGTAGTTCAAACCCACCAGCTGCTCCTTGGAAACCCTATACAAGGTCGCTATGAGTCAGACCCCATTCGATAGCACTTAACAACATATTCAAGGCCATATGTTGGCTCTCATGAACTTGTTTTAATTTTATTCAGCTTAAGCTTGACTGAACTTGCCTTGCCCTTGGGCTCTTGATGATCTGTTTCACAGTGGGCCCCTGACCTTGTTTTAGCTGATATTGAGCTTCTCCCACTA